TTTTTTTTTTCTACCCCATCGTGCATACCAGCTAAGCAACCTTAACCGCCCAGTTAATTGACACGACGTCATGAAGCAGCAGCGACTTGCGCTACAGCATCTCGCCTCCCCACCAGCCCTTCTGCTGCAACAAGGGTCCTCGGACACTGGCCTCTTGCTGCCTAGGTACTTGAAACCTCCACCTCCACTTGTTGCGACATCAGTACAGCGAATTCAAACGTTTGCTTGAAGTTTTCTCCTCTATATCTCGAACCGCTGCCTACAATCCTTTGAATCGTGATTGTTGAAAAAGAAACGACGACTTCCAAGAGCCTTCGCCCCTCACCCCATCCGATACGGGGACACTCAGTGCATAGCGAGAAACAACCATAGCTTACCTCTACCATCTCGGTCACATGCGTTGACGAACTAATAACCGGCTCCGGATCATCATTCATACTACCGACACATCGAAGCGATAATATACACGACCTCTCGAGTCTCCCCTCCCTTTCTTCTCTCTTTTAGTAGAGCCGCCAAACGAACCCCTCACCTGCCGAATATAGCTATACATAAATCATGGCGTCGTGGTACGCGAGCATCGTCACCAAGACGTCGTCGCAAATCTCGTCGCTGCGCTCCACGCTCCTCTCTGGCGAGGCCGACGGCGACACAGAGGATGACACGCACGTGTGCCGCGTCCTCCGCAACTACTACACCGACAAGGGCCGGCCCCGGCCTTCATGGCTGCCGGCGGACCCCAAGGCCGCTCAGCCGCCGCCGCAGACTCTCTACGCCCAGCCGCAGCTCGGCTCACGCTACGGCGGCCTTAATAACTCGGCGCAGGGCGGCGGCGGCGGCGGCCTCCCTGCCTCGGCCAGCCTGGCAAGCCTCTGGGACAGCGGTGGCTCTGGCCAGCAGCAGCCGGTGCAGACGCCTCAGAGCCTGCGTGCGGGGCGCGGAGGCGGAGGCGGCAGCGGCATGCTGCATCCAAACGGCAGGGAAGAGGTGGCATCGAGACCTTCGCTGCCGGGTCAGCGCTCCGGTAGCTATTCAAGTGTGAGCGGCCAGGCGGGCGGCAGTGGTGGTGGTGCGACGGCGCAGGATCGCCTCAGGCAGAGACTCTGGGGCGCCGCGCGGGCGGCGAGCCCGGTGACGTCAAATCAGAATGTGCCACCTCCGCAAGGCGGTGGCGGTGGCCAGTATGATGGCGGCAGGGGCGCAGGATATAGCAACGGCGGTGGCGGCGGAGGGGATTCCTACGGCAGGAGATCGCCAGGTGGACAGCGACAAGGCCTGCCTAGCGGTCCGAGAGGGTACAGGTAACATGGCTTGTGGGATATGTATACAAAGGGGGACTGCATCGGATGGTTGGGTTTTCTGTTATGGTTGCTGCTTTGCTCTGCATTATGCGTTGCTCCTCCTGCGATTTGGCTCGATGGAGCTACTGCGGATGAACAGATCTTGGACATGGGCATGGCGGTATACTCTGGTCGTGGCAGAGCTGCTACAGGTTCGAGATAGTAATGTAGCACAACTCGAAAGGCTCAAGCCCTTGATATTACGGAGCTTGTGTTGATATAAATGTGAATAATAAGCAGAGATGTCGTATACACGTATCCACGTAAACATGATAATGAAATAATTACAAGTACAGCAAACCCAGTTCCCGAGCGCCGGCGCCTCTCGAACACGCCCAAAGGTTCCTCAAAGCACACTTACTTACTCTTATTTGCCCGGCATGCCATCTCCCTTTTGCGCCACCGTCTCCCGGGGCAAAATCTGCACTTTTCTGCTCAACAACTTACGCAGTTCCGGCGTAATCGTTTTGCCGGCAGCCTCGGCATCTTTTCCCTTGGAGCCGGCAGCCGCAAGCGGTTTCAAAGGGCCGTCGGAAGCCGAGCCCAAGGACTGGCGCGGGGCTGGAAAGTTTGCCTTTTTGTCAATGGCCTCGACAGCGCGCTGGAATTTGCGGAAAAGCGCCTCGGCGCGGATGAGCGTGGATTCGAGGTCCATGGTGCCGGAAAGTTCATTGACTATGGGAAGTGGTGTCAGTATTTTCAGGCGTGCGGTGATATTGGGGGAGAGAGAATAAGATGACAAAACGTACTGTACTTGAGAACTTCGTCAAAGGCTTGGAGATGCTCCATGATGACGTCGCGGTGCTTTTCCAGAATGGAGAGCGACACGAAAATGTGAAACTCGGCGCTCAGGAAATCAGTCCACAGGCGCTCCCACAGGCTCAGTATATCGGCCCAGGGAAACTCGCGCTTGTACCACACCAGGAGCATGCGGAAGAAGAAGAAGAAGTTGGTGCTGTCGGCCTTTTGCAGGTGGTTCCAGAGCTTGGGATCCATAAAGTTGACGAGCTGGTCGAGCGCGAGCAGCTGCGCGCGCATGCCGGACTGGTCGCGCAAAAAGTTGCGCTCCATGCGGCCCATGAATTCCTTGAATGCCCAAAAGGCAATGGCGTCGTCTTGGATCACGGCGTAGATGGGCGCGAGAAGGTCGGACATGCCCTGCACGTAGCCGAGATCCTTGTTGTACTCGTTGTAAGTGAGGAGCATCTCTTTGAGCTGCTCCAGGTGGACATTGGTGCCGACGTCTGCAAAGGGCGAGTCGGGATCGGGATGAGGCGTGTCTTCGCCAAAGAAGATGGGAACGTGGCGATCTGTGCGGTGGACATCCTTCTCGATGCGGCCGCGCTGCTCTCTCCACCACTCACCCGCTTCGCCTTCGCCTCCGTGTCCGTCAAGTCGCTCCCACCAAGCATGCTTCAGCTTGTAGTAGGCATCACGAAGAGATGCAACCTGGGCCTTTCGCTCGTCTGCAGTGCTGTACCAGTCATAGACGCCGAGTAAGAATAGCCAGGCTTCCTTGCGTACTCCGTCGTCTGCGTCGAGGCCGCCATGGAAGATGCGCTCCTTGACTTCGTCAGTCGTCTTGATGAGTTTGCCATTCTCAGCATCAAAAAAGGTTTTCCACTCCGTCATGGTGACTGGCTTTCGGCGTTGTTCGAGAGACAAAGAACTAGCAGCATCCAAGAGCTCAAACTCGCCCACATCGGTATCTTCCAGCTCGAGAACATCCTTGACCGTGTACATTTTTTGTTTCCTGTCGCGCTCGCTCTGCTCAGCAATGCCCATGGCCCAACGAGCCAGATATATTCTTGCGCTGTCATATTCGTCCTGCAAGTTTTGCACGTCGCTGTTTCTCAGCAGCTTCTTGACTTGGGGTGGTATATTTGAATTCTCAGCCAGATCCTGCGCGGCTCTTCGAGTAAAAGTCGTGACCTGGCTGAACTTTTCCATAATATTCCAGCCCGTCTCTTTGACAAACTTTACAAATGGGTCCATTTCAGCATCGCGACTGGCTGGCGCGCCTTTACCCTTGTTGACGGTCGTGGGGATCGATCCAAAGGCATTCAAGTCATCCTTGGTTGGCTCAATGAGGTATATATTCGGTTCTGCTGCCGACCTTTCCATCTTGACGTATCGCCTGAGCCAGCGCAAGATTTCGTCTGCGCCCCAAAACATCTTTCCAGCTTCACTGAAAGGATCAAATGTATCCTTGGTCAGTCTCTTCTTTTGTTGAATAGTACTTTGACATTCATTATCATGGAAGAACAAAGCGGGGAAGCTGTCGCCAGCTTTGGTATTGATGATGATGGAGCCATGCCACCATCCGACACTCGGTGGTCGAACTAGCAGCGAGTAAATGGCACTGACTGGCACCGCAAAAGAGTAGGCACCGACAGACCCGCTGTGAGATGTTACTGTTGGCGGTGGGGGAACGAGATAGGATTGTCGGGGTGGTGAGTCGCCATCGGATAGATCAACTTTGACGTATATGCTAGCCGAGTCACCAAGAGACGACTCGGGGACCCAGGCGAGTAGGAGATCGGCCGCGGAAGGGCTGGAACCATCGTTGGATGAGGCAGCGTCGATTGTCGTCTTTTGCTGAAGCAATGCGATGTATCCCGGTATATTGTCCTTGGATGATGGCGAAGGGTGTACATAGACCTGGTGTTGTCAGCTCGTGTACTCGTAGAGTCCGTTTGCAGGCAGCTTCGGCCTACCTTGCTTTTAGAAAAGAGCAGCTTTACGCCCTTTCCCGTTTCTGTATGTGTGATTGTATCGTATGCGCCCTCATCATCGTCTGTCACAGCGTAGTAACTGTTCGAAGGAGAAGCAGAACGTCGCGGATCGCCAGAGCCGGCACCAGGAGTCAACGTCATTGTAAGGTGCGGGGGTGGCAGGTACTAGCAGGGTCGAATAGCAGTGGTGGTGATGACCTAGATGGAAGGTGAAGTGAAGAATGGCATGCTCCGAGATCAAATAAGAGTCAGCAGGGATGGCAGCGTATTAAAACAGGTCTGCATGTGAACGGCCAACTTTTGGCCAAAACAGCATGTCGGATGACGACGATTTCGATGGCGCCCCGCCACGCGATGCCGTGGTGGATCGGAGGGGCAAACGTCAAGTACTAGCTACCGGATTTGGGTAAGCAGCATGGGCAAACTACATGTATCCGCTACTTCTCAGCCCTGTGAGCGTCGTCAGTGCCTTGCGAGGCAAAGGCGCGACTACGCAATCCGCGTCACGAAAAGTTTGGAGAGTAGTTTGTGTCTTGATTTCATGCGAGATCCTTGCAGAATGCCTTTCTTCTTAGCGTACTTGTTAAGTGCTGGCTTCGGGAAGACGGCTGCTTCCTCTAGCTACCCTGCAGTCGCACACCATGACTATGTAAGTCGGCAACGTACAAGTCAGTGACTAAGAGAAGTACTGTGTGCTTCGCTTCTCATACAATGCAATAAGTAGTTGATGATTCCATAATGAACGGAGTCTAACACTGTATCCACCATCTGCACCGCTCGTCGCCTCGTGCTAATAGCGCGCCAAGGCAGGCACGAGACTCGTAGTAGCACAGTTGGGCAATCACTCACCAAGAGAAGACAACAATTCCTAATTAGGAAGTTGATGTAGCTATTTCTCCGTTTCCAGGTAGACCCGACTCACTCCAAGTTAACATTTATCATTGGCATAGTGTCGTAGTAAGATCCGACAGCGTGATTTCACTCGTACATCAACCAGCTTCCAAAGGTGGGTGACAGAAAGACGGCACAATACTTATACTTTATTATCCCATCACGATTTATCATCTACTCTGTATTATCTCCTACCTTGGTTAGTTTTCTTACTACTTTTTGTTTTCATTTGCCTTCTTTTCCTCCACTTGCGAATCGCTTTGTCGCTCGAGTCGGCCTTTCTCTCCGCCAGCAGCTTGCTGTCTAACTTGGCAGGCTGCCGCTGAAACCGTGTTACATGAGGTAAACACCGACTCTAAATCAACAAACATATTACTCCTTTTCTAATCTGCCAGTCATCCATGATCAAGGTCGGACGCTTCCCAATCGGAATGCAACTTGCTCAGCCCAAGGAAAATAACGACTCTTGTTCTTGGACTGCCAGGATTTTCGGTGCCGGCACGCATTCTGTTCCCCCTTCAATATGGATGTGCCCGTGCAAGATTTACCGGTGCTGAAGAAATTGACTTCTGTGAAGTTGAGTCTGCATCCCATCTTGCAGTACGGCGTAGTTGTGGCCAAGATCCAACCGCCACCAGCACCCCGAGACGTATGTCAAGTCGGCTGCAGTATTGTGCTGGTAATAGATGTTTCGAGTAGCATGGACGACAATGCACTCAAAGATTCAGTCGAAATATCTACAAGATCCTCTCACCTTACAATATTGAATCTCATCAAGCATTGCGCACTGGCCGTTTTAAAAACCATGGATGACCAAGATTCCCTTGGTATTGTCATCTTCTATGAAAAGGCACTGACATTATACCCCATCAAAAAAATGAGCCCGCAGAACAAGAATGCTGCCGAGCGTACTTTGCGAAACCTGACGACGCAGCGTGGAACCACCAATATCTGGGCGGGTATTGACATGGCACTGGATATGTTTGAGGAGGCAGACACTACCGGCCAGGTCCCTGCTATTATACTTTTGTCGGATGGAGTGACAACTTGCGCGTAAGAAGAAGACGAATGGTTTCAGACTCGAAAACTAACAACCTTGAGCCCAGTTATCCCTCGTGCGGCTTGACCAACGCTTTGCGCGGACGGATGCCATTCAAACCCTCAATACACACGTTTGGCCTTGGACCCAACCACGACTCAAGGTTGATGGCTTCCGTTGCTAACATTGGTGATGGAACTTATTGTTTTGTTTCGAACATGGCCATTATGCAAACATTGTTTGTGCACACCATGGCAAATTTGCGATCAACATATGCTACTCGCGCGACGCTACAGGTAACTTGTACCAACAATATCGTCATTTCCGACGACCTGAGGCAGAGAAGAGATGACACCGATGACGGATCTCTCGCCTTGTATCTGGGAAACATACAATATGGACAGTCTCGCGACATTGTGCTCAAAGTCCAACCAGCTCGATACGAAGCCGCGAGTGCCCTGGATCAATATGTTGCTGCCACAGTAACCCTGAGACCGGTCTTGGAAGGGCTTGGAATGTCCAAGAATAGAAAGTCAACAATATGCTTGGCAGACAAGTCACGATTGCCAGAAGGTGAACTCGCCTACCATGCATCACGTGGCTATATATGCTCATTCTTGGCCGATCTCCTCGGTGCAGAGGCAAATGGTGACATTCGTATTCCATTGGTAGACTTGGAAACCAGATTGGATAATTTCGACAGCCTCATTCACGAGATTCCCGCGCAAGACTACCATGATGAACTCAACCGGTCTCTGATGAAGGATTTAAACGGTGCACAACTACAAATCTCAACTGCACTTGACAGTGACGAACATTACGAAAGCTGGGGTAAACACTATCTGGCTGGTTTGTTATCAGCCCATGCGCGGCAGGTTCGCAGCTCGTTTCAGGCCGTCGGCCCGCTGCAATACGGCGTAAATAGTCGATTGTTCAATTCTTGCCACCACCGTCTGACACGGGTGTACAATACTATGCCACCACCAAAACCGGCGGCCCAGGCGATTCGCAGTGGTACCTGTCCTACGGCGCACCGTGACGCGAGGGTACACAATAATGCAACTAGTCAGATGCACAATGTCACCGAACCAAGGCACGGAGGCGACGCCGCGTCGACCAAGCAAGAATCGACCCAAGTCCTTGAGAGTGCCATGCCGACCATGCCTGGACAAAAAAGATCTTTCGAAACCATGAACTGGAATCAGGATGGCCGAAAAGAACCTGACGACGACGGCGACAGCCAAGCGACAGCCATGACGCCCGGTCCCTCGCAAAATGCGGCCTGCTTTGCGCACGGCACGCCCTTGACGCTCGAAGCGGGAGTGACCGCTGAGGTTCAGGACCTTCGCTACGGAGATATGGTTCAGACACTCGCCGGACGGCGCCTCGTCGTGGGTGTGCTGCGTACATTTGTCGAGAACGAAGTGCTCTGCAGGTTGGGCGACGTCCTCGTTACCGCCTGGCACCCCGTCTCGTTTGACGGCATCGCGTGGGGTTTCCCAGTGCACCTCACCGTGGATCCGATTATGTACACGGGAGACGTCTACTCAATCCTGCTCGAGGTGGACCGCCGACCGTTTGCCCACACGGTGCTGGCCGGAGGCCTCTGGGGCACCACGCTGGGACACGGCATCACCGGCGGCGGCGAGGGCGCGAATGACGTGCGCGCTCACCCTTTTTTCGGAGACTACCTATCGATATGCGACAAGATTGCGGTACTGCGTCGGATAAATGGCGCGTATCAGTGCTATGGGGTGACGAGGGACAGGAAGACAGGCTTGGTGAATGGGTTCAGGACTTGCGAGGCAAAGCCTGATGCGAGTGACGCTCAGCCTTGAAACTCGGGTGTGTAAGTGGACTCTATAGTCTGGGAAATATGCATGAGCAACTGACGAGACCGGATCAGGCGATAAGATGATGAGGGGCTTTTTTGCCTTGTCCAGAATTTTAGAGTGCTGAGGATGAAGTGGGAAGCAAAGGTGTTAAGCGTTTGATGATGAGTCTGCAAGAAGCGAGATTAGAATTGTTAGCCATAGCTCATACACAAAATTCCAAGCTTTTCTGAATGAGCACTGAAGAAGGAACGTATTATGATGTGGAATTCGCCAATAGCCACCTCGGACGCAGCGAGGTCTCGCGGATGCTTGATGCGTAGCCAGGCTCGTATTGAGCTGGCGAATGAAAGCGTGCTATTATATGTACGCTGTTATTGATACCACACAGAGATTAGTGCCATAATGAATGGCTAAAAAGGCTGCAAGTAAGGAGAAAATACAAATGTGACGAAGGCAGGGACAGAGAAGAAGACGAGGGAAGCCTGGGAGAACACGACACAATGATTGAACCAGGAGAAAGTGAATTGAAGACCAATTAATCACTTCTCACTAGGGAATCCCCAGAGAGTCTATGATCCTATATTACATTTATATATTCTGCTAGCAGTCTTCCTGTCGGAGCAATGTCTGGCCGTAGTGGCTTGCGTACGGACATGTCAAACTTGCACAAAGAGCAGCTATTCACAGGCCCCAAATAGCAATGTTCAAGCTCATAATTCGACAAATAGGCTCTAGAGGCTTGATTTACGAGAGCTTTCTAGATGTTGGAAATGATTTGTGAGAAGACACGAGGCTGCGCTGAGTGGCTGCATGAGCAGGCTGCAAGTCATCATCCACCTATTCAAAGAAAGGCATTACTGTTCGTAAGGGTGGAGGGAGTTTTTGGCATAGTCCGAAGCAAACATGTGGAAAACAGTGAAGAAATGGCACAAACGTTTCTGAATGAGGAATCTAAAAATAAAACGACTCAACATCATGCGTACGCGTGGCGAAATGTTGAAGAGTGATTGATGGTTGCACGGTAAGCGATCCTGGATACAAAAGAACGGCTTCGCCTTGTGCAAAAGACTCATCCACTACAGTGATTGCACGAACCTTTTCTTTTTTTTGTTTTTTTACAATTGTTGGAATTTCCAAACACGCCCCCCGACGAGAATACAAAGATGAAGACTGCCGCCCTCGTCGCTCTCGTCGCCAGTGGTGCCCTCGCGGTGCCCCGGGGCAAGACTCTGGCCGAGCTCTCCCTCCCCGGCCCGCACGACTACAATCCGAGCCAGAGCCTGTATCCGCAGCGCGCTCTGCGTGTCATTGGGAGCTTCAAAACTGGCTACGACGAGGAGGCGTTTCGCGCCGAGGCTGTCAAGCAGTGCAAGGCTGAGCATGCGTGCAGCACCGTCATTGGCTACCTGCGTAAGTTTTTCTTTTTTTTTCTTTTTTTTTCTTTTTTTTTTCTTTGGCATTTCCCCAAAGGAGCGCAGCACATGAGCGAAACATCAACGAACATGACAGAGATTGATGAGTGAATAATAATGTCGCAGAGGAGCGCTCTGGCGTCGTGTACGGTTCGGCGTACCCCGTGTGGTTCGCTTGGCTGATTGGTGGTGCGAGAGCCACGGAGAAGGACTTTCATCATTCAGAAGGCATCAGTCACTCGTTCATCTACACTATCGAGGATTAGACGCAGCAATCGATGAGATGTGAGTTGTGCAAAGCGTTGGGGTGGGGGGGGGGGGCTTAATTATTGTAATTCACTGCAGCCTTCCTCGGCTGCTGGGCTCTTATTGGTCAAGATTGTCATAAAGCCCCACCCTTCTGTATTTCCTAATCCATAGGTAGGTGACCTGAGGCACCTAGATAGCTTGAATCAACCCGTCAGCAACAACACTGCAATTCTTGACGATATGTATAGTAATCGACCCTCTTGAGCGTCCAAAACTAATGTTTCCAAGCAAAGCCGTTGCTTGAGCATCGAGTCATGGCCACTTGAACCAATCTCCCAGTTTTCTATGCATGTGGTAGAAGCAGCTTGTCAGAACTCTCAGCCACTTGCATCAATGAGTCAGTAATCTCCACAGACCGGGAGGTGGCTGACGCGTTTCCAGAGCACATCAACCCTATTCCTCCTGGCACGTCGACGCCCGACATGTCGTACGTCCATTTTGTCGATGAACATTCCTGCGTCGATGTGTCTCTCGCCTGTTTGCCCTTGGATTCGTCCAGTGCAGCCGGGTTGCTGCTGGGTTGCGTGATGTGGATAAAGCCACTCTGGCCTCTTCCGCGTCCCAACTTTGCTTTCCAGGCTTGCATCCGCCCAATAAAAAGCCCAATTTTTTTCTTTCAATCACTTCGCGCGGACTTGCATAAGGGTTTAGGCGTCGATCCAAAGATGTCCGCTTCGCGCTGCTCGAGAGCCATGAGAAACTGAGTAGCAGAGCGCAAGGTCGTTTCGACGGCCTGTAAGCGACCAGTCACGTCACAAACGGTTTCAAGCCGCTTAACCTCGGGGACGAAAGAAAAAAAAAAGACGGAGCTCGGGCAGGTCATTATCAATTGTTTGATGGATTTTACTCTGCCCGAGTACTCGAAATTCTGCCGACATGCAAATCCCAGTCTGGGCGGGCCGATGCTGCCGTGAATCAAGACTGTCGTGTTGATCAAAGACGTTTGTCTCCCAGCCCAAAACGCTCCACGTCCGAGATTACGTAAACTATGGCAGTGTATAGGGCAACCTATGCTATGTTCTATGAGGTTTTACTATATATACCCTATCATATTTATTCTATTATCATTGAGGTATATATATACCAACAGTACCTTGACAGCCTAGAATTATGTTAATCAAATCTTCTTTATATTTGTAACTTTTCTCTTATATTCTTAAATTATACTGCCTAGTGACGCTTATTCACTACGCATATGAGCAAGCAGAGTACCACAATTTAGATTTTTTATCTATAATGAAAAGCTTTTCTATAATAAATACAGCCAAATGTGCATCGTTATTAGGGTTGACACATGGTAGTGGCAAGGGGCAAGAAAATAGATCAATTTCCGCCGGGCATGTGCCACATCTGAAGCGACAATGCCTGGCAAGAAGTACAGCAACGCGTAACTCGCACCTTGACAGCTGGTCTGCAAGTCTAGCTACCTTTGGCGAGCCAGAGAAATTGAATGCGAAAAACGGGACGGAATTGGCGAGAGAAGTCACGTTTGACTTTGCGTGGCTGCCTCACGGGGGCCGGGGGGGGGGGATCGGCGGTTCAGAGAGCCAGCGAACAGCAAAGGTGACGAGGCAGCCGAAAGAGAGTAAACAGCAGAGACAACGAGGCCAATGGTAAGCGAACAAAAAAAAAGGCAGGAGCAGCAAGGGCGGCCCCTGCGGGATCCGCCAGCATCGGTGCCGGCGCCCGGCCGGTGCGGCGTCTCAACTTTTACTGACTGAACAGGCAGTTTTCAATGGCGGTGCGGCCGAGCCGGTCGCACTCGGCAAATCCCTGGTCGCAGTTGGCAAAGGCCTCCTGGCCCTCCTTGGCGCACTGCTCGCGCGACTTTTGGCCCGCGGACGGCTGAGGCTGAGGCTGGGACTGGGGCTGGGAGCCCTGTTGTCCCGCGGCGCCAGTGGCCTGGTCGACCAGCTTCGCGACATCCGCCCACTGCAGCTTCTGGCCGGGGGCTCCGCTAGACTGCTTGTTGGCCATGCAGCCGATTTCTTCAGGGTCGGTGAATGGCTGGAGCTTGCACTGCTGAGGCACCTCGTCGGCCTTGCGCTCGCGCTGGCCGTAACCCGGCCTGCTGAGCGCCGGATGTCCGCGGCAGAGCAAACTGCTTCCGGTGTCGGGGTCGGTATCGGGCTGGCCGTCCTTGTCCAGGAAAACGACAGTCTCGTTCTCGGGGCACGCCGCCAGGGTCCTCCCGAAGAAGACGCCTTGGTGGACGCAGTCGTCGGCGCAGATGAACTGGTTGTCCGGGAGTATGACGGCTTCAATTTCGGCGCCGAGCATGGCATTGACGCCCGCGACGGCACCAAGGAGCAAGAGGGATAGTGAGTGCATGGTGATGGGGATGGTTGGGTGAGGTGATGTCGAGTTGAGATGAGATGTTAGAGATTGAGTTGAGATGAGATGAGATGAATGAGGTCGAGTTGAAAGTGAGTTGTCAGAGTAGCTTCTGCTGAGCCAACGTGCGTATATAGATATATATATATGATCTATATATGATCTATATATATGTATATAGATATATATATATGATCTATATATATGTATATAGATATATATATATGATCTATATATATGTATATACATATATATATATGCTGAAAAGGTGGACACCAAGAGAGAGGTTGAGCGAAATAGTTAGAAGAAGGCTTTGTTGATTATAATTTTACCCACGACACCCCCTTCTTGAAGTACTTGGCACTGGCAATCCCACAAGGCTTTGTGTTTTCATGCTGGATATTACATGGTGGTCTTGTTTAATGCAGCCTGTAATAACGCCGAGCACGTCTGCTTGCGAAGATCAGTAGGGCAGTAGGGCAACGAAGTTACCCACGCAATGACTAGTGCACCTATGTCTACCATGGGGATTGCAATAAATCGAGTCAGGAACACGCAAGGGCGTGTTTCGTCATGAGTTGCAATTCCTTTCCTCGCCGTCTCAGAAGTCATTATAAAATTTCTTGCTAATTTAGGCATTGAGTACTCTCCTGTTATGCTGTCGCTCCGAGCCAATAAACGAGGTCAAGCTTGGACTCGATTCACGCAATGCTTTGATATACTAGTCATGCGCCACGACTACTTTTTTCATGATGGGTATCAGGACGTTAAAAAGCTAATAAACATGGACGAAATCTTCAATTCTTTAAATCTGTGACATGTTTAAATGCGTGCTCGCTGACATCCTCCTCTATCTGGTGGAGCACTTCGTTGGGAGCGTTAGCCTGGCGATGGCCCGTCACGCTCTTGTCAGTAATGTGCTCTGATTTTATTTAGAGCCACTCTCCACTTTGCTTGTTGCCTGTTGAGAAATGCGGATGAGAAGCATGCCAGCAACTACGAGCGCCACCAAAGACAATGACTCGGGCCACATTGACGCGCGAGCCTCTCGTGTACCGAGGCTTTCTCGCTCGGCCTGAACAAGAGCGGGCCGATAATGTTCCCCCCCAAGCTGACGCCAATGAAAAGCATCGTGGTGGTGACTTTGCGCTTGGTGTTCGCCGGCCGTGTTTTGCCCCGGACAATGAGTATATGAGCGGTGAGATGCCGGGATACACGGAGAGGATGTAGTATCCGACGAGTAAGACAGCGCCGTTGCTGGGGTGCGCGGCCAATAACAAGAAGAAGGGCACAGCCGGCGATGGGAAGGAGGCAGAGAAGAAGCAAGACTATAGATTTCATACCGATGCGTTCAGAGAGCCATGCACCGCCGAGTGTCACAATTATTTAGACGGCACTAAAGGGCATGTTAAACAAAATCGTGCTGAATTTATCAGATCTAAAGGATTTCATGATGAGGGTTCTAAACGTTGAGATGCCACTACTCGGAATTCTGGATGCATGTAATCTAAAGAGTGGATGTGAGAGTAATGGCGAGTGGCTTACGAGACGTCGAGCATTAGGAAGAACCAGAGATATGTCTTCAAGTCCAGGAAAGCTTCTAGGACATGGTCCAACTTCTAGACGCCAGAACCGATGCCCATCTGGTTTATACAAAGTCGCTGAATTACTACGAGCTTTTCCTCGTACTTGAAACCTTGCCTCCATGGGTGAATCAGGTACGAGGAAGAATATGATGATGGAAATTTTCAACCGTAATATATCCGTAGAAGAGAAACATGCTCCGATAAGAGTGGAGGTGTGGGTTGCTCTGGCTGAGCCCGTACGTTAATAGACTACTAAGGTATAAGTAAGTAACCAACTTATAATATTATGCGTGGCGTAGCGAAGTAATTGATAATGGACTTAGCATGTTGACTATACCGAGCAGAGCGTACCAAGCGGCATTACGAGTAGTTTACTCGTGACGGCGATACTATATCTATACCACGGCAATAAACATTGGCGCTGCTCCGTGTGGGCCTGTGAATGGAGGCTGTGGAGGTTGTGGCAGCACCCAATGTCTGTTATAATATAATATAAGTAGCCCCAGTGGTATGTGAATAAAGCCAAAAGGGCTACAATCACAGATCCATTAAGTAATAAAGAGTGGCTAATTAGAGGTACTAGTAGCTACTAGTTAATATATAGACACTAGCTAGTATATATACGAGTAAGACAAAATAGTAGGCAATAATAATATCAGGCGTTATAACTAAAAACGTAGAAATAAAGAAGGTAGGCTTGATAATAGAAAATTACGTAGAAGTTAGATATAAAAAGGGAGGACTTTCCCTAAAAGAAATAAGAAGAAATAAGATGACAGTTAATAAGAATAGTAACTAGTAATTAAGACCCCTTTACGCTAAATTACTCCCTATTATGCCCCTTATTTAAAATACCTATCAATTAGCTGTCATAAATCACGAGAATATCGCCGCCGCGTCTAGCTTCCCTACTGATGCCTCAAAGGCGCGCCGAGGAGCAGTCTTGGCCGCCATCAGACCACCAAAAGTCCCTTGCCCCCCCCCCCCTCCGCCGTCCATGCTGCACAGCACCGCGCCCTAGCAAAAAGACTATGATGGAAATGGAACTTGCCAAAAGCGGAAAACTTGAACGAGGCTGGTAAATAGGCCATGACGGGGGGCTGGAAGACGAGCTGCGCAGACGTAGACGACTGACTCGAGCCATAAGAAACTCGTCTCCCTGCTAGATTGGTATTCTCTGATGAGGCTTAACACTGAGGCGTAGGAGAGCGTGGTCTTGTTAAGAGACGGCAGGTAGTAGACGAAGAGGAGGATGGGAAGCAGTCGTAGGTCGATTTTTGTGGAGGATGCTTTTGGTCATCTGGGGGCGTGACGATGACTTGGTGCCCAGCTTGTTTCAGAAACAGCGCTGCCTTGTCTTGATCACGAGCGAGAGCATCTTGCTTGCTTCTACGTCGCTGGGAGGATATGTTACATAGGTGGTGTCTTTACCTTGCGCCTGCATATTGGTGTGCAAGTTGGAGTGCTGGCCGCTTGTATTTCTAATGAGTTGTCTAAGACGGGATGAACAGCCCAAGGGAGCTTTGTTCGGGGATGCAGCGGTAATCACATACAGAACGGCTGAAGTCGTCCCCGCTAAGCGCCACCCTCGTCAACCGTTGTGTAAAAAACAATCAGCGCTTCGTCACATTGGTTTGACGGTTCCCCGTGGGGAAGAAAAGGCAAAACTATGGGGGTCGGCAATTGGTCATGGCGTGGGAGCCATCGGTGTTTGGGAGCTTCCACCGGTCGGCGGTCGGGTCATTTCTCCGCCGCGCAGCAACCTCGTGGGGGCGATGAATGGTCTTCATTCGCTCCCCGCGACAGCGCCAAAGATGCTGTTCTAGTTGCTGCAAATGACGGCCTCGGCGGAGGAGTCTAGTGCTGCGTCGCTTGTGGACCTAGATGGATACAAGAAGCCAGCTAGGTCGAGTTATAAAGTGACCCTTGTCGCTATTTTATAAAATGTTCTGATCTTAATCTTGCGTCCATTCTCTATTACACGATGCCGCAACAACAGGAACGAGTCTTGTCCGGGTGGGCAGCGGCGGCCACTGATAACGCGGCTGGTGCACAGGAGCCGCGAGTGTTTTTGTTGAGCGGCAGTGGCTCCGCAGATGCCTTTCAATTCTCATTCGAGACTCTTCGCAGCAATGTCTTTCGAACCCGATTTACATCAAATTCGCACCACCTGCCGCCGCATCCCAGCGCGCGGCCCATCAAGGCGGAGCTGGATGAGATCAAGCTGTCCGTCGCATCGCCATCCGAGACGACAAAGGAAATTGAGATTGGCGATGTAGTCGTTAAACTGGACTGGACACAATCATCACCGCTTCTGTCTATAGCATATACAGAGAGCAGAGGGAAGCCTATTCATCAGGACCTACCCTTTCGTGGATATGTCGTCGACGGGCTAGGTGTAGCTCACTATACTCGCTATAACCGTGGCACGCTTCATGTTGGCTTGGGAGAGAAGGCCGCGCCAATGGATCTGTCTGGACGCAAATTTGAAATGTCGGCAACTGACAGCTTTGGATACGACGTCTACCGTACCGACCCTCTGTACAAGAATATCCCACTACTCATCAACGCGACGCCGAGTGGTTGCGTCGCTACCTTTTCAACCACCCACACCCGAGGACACTACTCTATCGGCTCCGAAATGGACGGCATGTGGGGACGATACAAGGTCTTTCGCCAAGACTACGGCGGACTGGAAGAGTACACTATAGTCGGCAGGACTATAAAGGACATTGTGCGAACCTATGCCGAGCTCGTTGGCTTTCCTCTCTTGGTTCCGCGATGGGCATTTGGCTACCTTTCCGGCGGCATGAAGTACTCTATGCTGGACGACCCGCCTGCGTCCGAGGCACTCTTGGAGCTTGCCCGCAAAATGAAGCAGCACGACATTCCCTGCTCTGCGTATCAAATGTCTTCCGGATACACCGTGGCTGAGACGCCGCCCAAGACTCGCAACGTCTTTACGTGGAATCGCCACCGCTTTGCAGATCCTCAAGGTTGGATCAGGGAGTATCATGAGCTCGGCATGCGACTGATTGCCAACGTGAAACCATATGTGCTGGGCAGTCATCCAGAGTATGAGACGCTCAAGGCTGCGAATGCCTTCTTCACGGACCCCGACACTAAGCAGCCTGCTGTTGCGCGTCTCTGGAGTGCAGGTGGCGGCGAGAGCGGCGAGGGGGGACACATTGACTTTACTTCCGAGGCCGGCTTCAAGTGGTGGTACAACGGCGTGAAGAAGCTCCGTGAAGAGGGCATCGACTGCATCTGGAACGACAACAACGAATACGTGGTCACTGATGACAATTGGGAATGTGCTCTTGACCTGCCATCTCTGGATATTCCCAAGGAACTTCAGAGTCGACCGCAGATTGGCGTTTGGGGCAGGAGCCTGCACACTGAGCTCCATGGTCAGGCGTCGCACGACGCTCTCGTCGACGCTGACCCAGAGAGCCGGCCTTTTGTTCTGACGCGCAGCGCGACAGCGGGAACTATGCGATATGCCTGCAGCTCTTGGAGCGGCGACAACACGACGAGCTGGGAGAGCATGAAGGGATCGACTGCTCTCGGCCTCAACGCGGGCGTTTCGCTGCTTCACTGCTACGGCCACGACATTGGTGGCTTCGAGGGCCCTCAGCCTTCACCCGAGCTGCTGCTCCGTTGGGTGCAGCTGGGCGTTTACTCGCCGCGCTTTGCCATAAACTGCTTCAAGACGACATTGACTGATAATAATGTGGGCGACGTGATTGAGCCGTGGATGCACCCGGCCATTACGCACCTCGTTCGCAAGGCGATTAAGCGCCGCTACGTACTGATGCCGTATATTTACTCGTCCATGATTGATAGCCACCGCAAGGCGACGCCGCCGCAGCGGTGGATGGGATGGGGATATGAGGGCGATGCAGAGGTGTGGAAGAAGCCGCTGACTGACGGAGAGACGCAGTACTGGTTTGGCGACTCCATTGTGGTAGGGGGTGTGTTTGAGCCAGGGGCGACACAAGTCGAGATATATCTTCCGAGGAGCAGCGACACCGATGAGGGCTATGTGAATATGAATCCGCCGTACCAGCATCTCGAGGCTGGTCAGTGGGTTACCATTGATGCCGAGTGGCACGGCGCAGGCATTGCCGTCATTGCCAAGGTTGGCGCGGCGATTCCGACGGGTCACGACGTGCAAGTGCTCTCTCCCGGCGAAAAGGAAAATGTTGCCCATCTGCCGCTTGATGACTACCGGGCTGTTGAGATTTTTCCACCACCGCCATCATCGCAAAAGGGTGGCGGCGGCAGCGACGACGGCAAGTGGTATGAGACTACGTGGCACGAAGATGATGGCGTTTCGCCAGTGGCCAAGAATAAAATTTCGTCGTACACTTTTGCCTATACAGCAACGAATGAAACGGTTAGTGTGAGGTTTGAGAGGGATGAGAGCTCGGGGTTTGTTGCGCCCTGGAAGAAGATTGTTGTAGTGCTGCCGACGGGAGATGAGCGAGATGTGGAGAGGAGTGATGATGGTCAGGGGGGAGTGGCTGATTTGGGTCGTGATGAGCAGGGACGCAGAAGATTTGAATTGTCCTAGACAGGATGGTGATGTGAACAAGAACTGAAATGAATCTACAAAGTGCACACTGCTTTTGTGCGTAAGCCGAATCTGTAGCCGGCGCCGCCATCAAGCCATAAAGGTCTTGGCCACCCACCATTCAAAGCACCGAGCAAAATAATGAAGCTGATTCCATCGTTGAGAAAGATGGAAAGTATGAAACTTGAAAAAATTCCCATTCGAAAATAATTTGTCCGGCACGAATGAGCCGGATTCGGCTGCCGATTTGGTGTGAGTTCGCTCCTAGTCGTGGTGGAGCTCAATGTCAACTTGGGAGAGCTGCATCTGTCCTGCCAATTGGTTTTGCTCATGAAACGCCTTCATTACCCTCATATTTGGTTCGAATTTGTGGTCACTGGCTCAAGTTCCCTTTCTGGCATACTTCGAATTACCTCTCTAATTAATTTGACACATGGCCTGGCAGCTGAGTTGTGTGCACGGAAGCGATTGAGCTTGGGGAAATGGTGGCGCATAATTTTCGTCAGCTCCTCTTGTGAGCAGTTGCTGGGGCAGTGTTAGTTACAGCAGATTTGGCAAATCGAGGGTCATTTCATGGTACTGACTTGGGAACCCACTGATTGTCCTTGGAGACTGTCGCGTTCTCCACGGTTAGATCCTCGAGGTTTGGGAAAAGAGGCATTGTTGAATCCTCCAGATCAAGCTTGCCGAAATGTATTATGCCTGGCCACGTGAGGCGCTCGAGGCGAGACCAGCCGCGAGACAAAGTAGCCAGACAACCATCAGTACAATGGTCATGGCGACCAATATTCACTTCCAGTTCAAAAACATTCAAGTTTGGAAATGATGCCATCCATTTCTGGAAATCATCACACGCGAGGGGCAACTGAGGCCATGACTTGTCCTCGCAGATCAAGGAAAAGACTTCTAGCTTTGACAGAGCTTGTAGCGACACCATGTCCAGACTACAAATTGTTGCGCCTGAAGCCAAGTCAATTTCCATGCTTCGGAGGTTCTTCATCTTGGATATTTCTCGCAAGACAGGCACCTCGCTGTCATCGAAAACCATATCGAGCTGATGCATATGTTTGCACCACTGCCCGAGCAGAGGGGCCGCCATAGAAGGAACATATCCCGAAAATTCTCTCAATAGAGGAAATGGCTCAGGCACCTGGTCGCAGATGCGCTGAAAAGGTTCCGGCTTCAAGATCACGTCGGTGCCGATCCGCAACGAGAGCAGCTTCCGCTGGCGAGCGCACTGTAGCAGAGTCGCGTCCATGACATCATCTGTGAGCGGATGAAGTTCGTCCCCTGCAAACGCCTCAGAGTTCTCCCTGTCTCGTGGCTTGACGCGGAGATGCTCGAGAAGGGGGTTGGCTGCAATGAGTGCTGCCAGCGCCTCGTCTGTATAATGGGCCCAGAGAAGGTCCAGTCGCAGAGATCGCAGATTTTGGCACGTGCTCTCGACTTCATGCAGAAACAGATCCGTGATGCGGCTCTTTCGCAGAACCAGATGGGTAAGCTGCGGCTGAAGATAGCGATGCAATAATTCTCTGTCAATCGCCGCTTTCTCGTCCTCTTCACGCAACCCCGAGTAGCTGACCAGTGACAAGTACTTGAGGCCGCTGAATTGGATTCTGCGAAAAGCTTTGCTGTACTGGACCATCTTTGTGGGAGTCATGACCAGGCGACGAACCTTGGAGGCGAAGAGCTGCCGCCGGCTAATCTGAGTGCGGAGTGCAAGAGTCGATAGCGAGCCCGCGAACCATTTCTCCTCTGTGGCAAAGTTGAAGAAGTCGCGATTGACGAGAGAAGCCGAACCGAGGCTTTTCTTCGGCAGATGGCTACAGATGGCCTGGACAATGTGTGGCTGAGCCAGCGCCCGGGCGATGGGATCGGGAGCTTCCATTGGCGTCGATGTGGAACGGCGACTGGTGAGCGTATTGCGACTAGTGCGTGCCAATTATCAATACGACAAGTATCATCCTAATTAAAAAAAACAGGATAATTCGAAGTAGTAGGGTCTTGTTACGGATGAGTCGTCTGTGTAGGTTGAAAAACAGGAGGCGACCGTTTGCGAGAGACACGAGGAAAAATTAGGAGGGGCGCGTTTTTGAAGAGATTATTCGCACTGTCTTGATCTGCCGTGAAACTCATAAACTCGCAGCAGCACAGAAGAATTTTCATGAGCAAAAATACCGGATCTGGTAATACTAAATGAAGCAAGCAGAAATTGGTGTAAAAGAGATTAAAATCAGATTTCATATAGTTTGGTCTACGCGTGTAGCGCAGGCAGTTTTGGCGCATAATATGCTGCTCGGGCCGTCCCGTAGCTCTTCCCCTTAGTTCGACATGGATTTTCGTAGCAGTTATTCGCCATGTGCAATGCTGCTTTCGCCTTGCCGTTGGGAGGAACCAAAGTAAAAAGTTTCTAGTCTCACGGCGACCAGCCTTCATGTTCAATTTCATCTTCATCTTGGTCGTCCCCTGAATCGTCCTCCGACACGTCTTCCCAATCGTCTTCTGGATCATCCTCGGAATCCTCCTCGGAATCGTCTTCGGAATCGTCCTCTGAGTCGTCCTCTGAGCCGTCCTCTTCATCTTCAATATCCTCTTCCGCCGATTCATCAATATCGACATCATCGAGTCCAAGACACCTAAACACTTGTTGCGGTGTAAGGTTGAAACCATTTTCTCTAACCAACTCAACATTCTTTTCAACAGCCCTTTTCGTATTCGTCATGATAACAGACTTGAGACTGCTCGCTATTTTCCTGTAGCCTCTCGCCTTGCTCCTCACAGTGAGGTCAGACAGCATTGGAAAGTGCTTCTCAAACAGCCTGGCAAGGCTGTCCTTGTCTTGAATAGCCTGAGAAAAAGAAAGAGATTCCACGCTCAGCCACTGAAGACTTGGAAACGCAGCCGTTGTCCGCGTGTCAAGCTGTAGGCCCCGGAGGTCGATATCTGATGGGAGCAGGAGACTATCCAGATGCGGGCAGTGGTCGGCCAGACACGCCAGAGCTCTTGCGCTCAGAGTACAGTCGCAAATAAAGGTGAGTGATTCGAGGTCCGGGAAGTGTGAGAATAGCTGCTTAAAGTCGTCGTCTATGAAATCCAGGAGCTCAACATCTTCCACCTCGTGCACACGGCCCGGCCGTTCATGGTGGCAAATACAGAGCTTTCGCATCTTTGACAATGAGCGAAGCGACATGAGTTCGCTCTTGGGAATATCATAATGAGGCGGTAAAGCAACCATGAGTTGCGTCAACGCCGTCAGAGATGAGATGCTGGATAAAATGGGATCCGTGACGCTCGTCAGCGTGACTCGTAGAGCTGTGAGGTTCTGCAATGCGCCTAGCATCAGCGCGAACCCCTTGGAGGGCAAGGTTAATTCAAGTTCTTTCAGAGAGTTGAACATGTTGGTATTCTGCGAGGTGGCACTCTCTACAACTTTCGAGGGTATCCCAACAGGTAGTCGAAGTGAAGTGAGTTCGGCCCTCGTGGCACAGTGCGGAAACAAGCCCTCTGCCTGCATGGCGGCCCCTTCTCCAGATACACTGAGGGATTCCAGCGATACGAGAGACGACACAAAATTCAGGAAGCCGTCTGGTGTCATGTCAATTGTCGGGACTAGACTAATAATCTCAACTTTGCTTATTTTGGGCCACCAAACAGCCATGACCCTGAAGAAGGCGTCGGGCACAGTGAGGCCAGACATGCTGACTGCAGATATCGGACAAGACCTGAAAGGCTCGTAGGTTGCGGCATCTGTATCGCACCTGGGCTCATGAAAGTCAATAGACTGTATTCTTGGAAACTGTAGACCTTTTGCCATGGCAGCATGCTCATTGCGATTGAGGCTCAGCTGCTGCAGCTTTGACGCGTAGATCTGTCGCCGGCCAGCCTCAACATTCGAAAGGTAGTCCAATGGTGCATGGCCCCATAAGTTGTCGGTTGCTGGGCCGAACCAAAGTCGGCTCACGCGAGCTGCCTTGGCCGCGAAAGGAGGCCAGAGATGGGATAGTATGCGTTGCAGGATGTCAGGATTGCTGAGCGCTCGTGTGGTATAGTGAAAGTCATCCATGTTGAAGGGTTTATTGTTTTTGCCGTGACATTGGACAGAGTTGATGGCCGAGTAAACAAATACGACTGTTGAATTTTTGTACAGCCGATTAACTAGCTGTGAGGAATAAGGGGTCTGTGTAGTACAGTGGCTACCCAAAAGTGACGCGAAAAAAAAAAGATATACTAACTACCCTAGAGTAATAAAAAATAACTTTAAAGAGCTAGTTAGTTATAACTAACTAATTAAAGATAAATTATATTAAAAAATGTATACCATCCACCGAAAGCGACAGTGTCTGCCTGGCCGCTGCAGGCTGCTGCAATTGGACGTCAACTCCCCACAGTAATATAATTCAATATGCATATGCACAGCACAGCACAGCCAAATGCAAATATCAATTCGTCGCTCTACGGCTGCGGCACAAATGGTGGTCAGATGGGTGTGACTGCGGACTTGAGCAACCCGCTGTACAACGCGCCGGAGTACAAGAACAGTGGCGCGAAGCCGGAGGGAATCATCATCAAGATTGGTCAGAGCTCCAACGAAGAAAATAGAAAGTTTACAGAATCAGTATTAGTATTGTTCCAGACATTTAGCTAGCCTACAATTCACAAGTTGCGCGCCTACCTGATCACCTAGTCCTCCGCACTCTTACATTTGACAGCAGTATCGCCAAACCGCAGAAACCAGACACAGAAAATATCGACCACGCGCCAAAATCACCAGGCATTCTGTTTTCGGTTCATTTTCGTACCGCATGGTCCAGCAATATCACAGGGCTCTCGTCGTCCAAGTAGAATCAATATAGATTGAGCTTTCAATACCTAGTATGGATAAAAAATCCATCCCTAAAGCGATCCATTCACACCTCCACCTTGGAGATCATAGTCATTTGGCGGCACTTGGCGACATCCCACCGCCCAGGCGGCTCGACCACCATGCTACCCGTCTCATTCAACTTCTTCGCACCATACGAATTCAGCCACGTGAACGAGACCACGACCTCCTTTCCGTCCTGACCTCCCCAATCGATCCTTGCGAATCCACCCTCGCCCTCGGGCGTGTAGGGGATATAGCTTCGGCACGCCTCCCATCCGAAGCCCAGCCCCAGGCCTGAGCAGTGGGAGTCAAACTGCCGGGCAAAGGGATTTGCGTAGGGGTCTCCAGAGTTTCGGAGCTCGCCGTTGATGTAGAATTCTTGGTTGCAGCCGCCATTTCCGCAGTTCTGCTTCATGCGCTGGACGTTCCAGGCGGTGGTGCTTGTCTCTGCGCCGTACACGAGAGTGGCGGCAGGTGCCAGTGCAAGAAGAGATGTGAGAAAATGCATTTGTAAAATGGCTTACAAGTCAGGTCATGGAGAGGGGCAATGCGGATTTAATTCTACTCTTTGTTTGAAGAAGCGTGTCGACGGCGCCTTATATAGCTGTCGATGTTTTCAGGCAAGCCAACCAGCGTGGAATATGTAATATTTCATGCAATGTAGTCATAATGGATAAGGTAATACATTTAATATCATGTGGTGTGATGGAGACTTTTGACAATTTTTGACAGTACTGGAACGTTGCCAACGGAAAGCTGCGGCTACAGACGTCTTGCAGTCCTGCGGAGGCTGATAATTTTTAACCCGCCGTATTATGGACTTTTACCCCGCGCAGGCCTGTAAGTGGCTGTTTTCTCGGCAGATTAGTAGGCAGGCAGCTTACTAGGTATCTTTAGATCCTTCGCAAGATGCAGGCAACCTAATGCTTTACTGACTTGTTGATGCATTTATTAGGATGACTCTAGGGGCAACCTTGGGCAGCCACGTCTTCTCTCCTTTGCGTACCTAGCCTGTTCCAGTTTCTCATCTCAGACAAGCTCATCCTTATGCAACATCTCCCAAATACGACGCACTGCGTCTTGTGGCGTCGCTAGGCTTATAGTCGAGATGCGAATCACCACGTCCGGACAGGCTACCGCGGTCGATGGCTCGTCTAGCTTCTGGAGGAGGGCCGCGGGCACCCAGCTTTGGTAGCAGTACAGCTGCAGCGCGCCGACGCCCCCAACAGCGAGCAAGAGCACCTTCCAGCCTGGCGCTTCAGGAGATGACCTTCTATGCGCTTGCGCCAGCGCGATAAGCAGGCTACAAATATACGGACCCTTGCAGGCTATTGTGGGCTGCAGCGCCTTTTCCTTCTTGAGCCTCACGACAAACCCAGCACCGTAGTTTTGACTAGCCCTCTGTTTACCGCCGTGCACCCACTTATGTCGCGTTTTAGATATCGCGTCAAAGTTGATAGAAATCATCATCTGACCTCGTGTCTTTGCCGTCCATACGCCCTGAACGTGTAAACGGCAAACAATCTCCCCTCTAAATTGCATCTCAATTCGGTCCCAATTCCTACCACACGAGCGTTAACTTTAGATCATCCTTTGCCTCTTTCTTGTAGAGACGTACCTAGTTCGCGTTAGCCCATAGCTCTGTAGCAAAGTGGCCATCGCTATTCTCTGTAGGTCCTCGCCCCAGCCAACCAAGCATTCTATCGCACGGAGACCGTCTTTCACATCCAAGGGAGGTCTGTCGCCCGCCACTGTTTATCGTCCACATGGGAACCAACTTGGGCGTCGCCACTGCCCTGGCGGCTGGGAGGTATTTTCGCGAAGCGAAAGTGGACGCCTAGTAGCTCCAGGTGGTATGGCGTCCAGGCGATCGGGTGCACGTAGAGACGACGTCGACACTCGCCTCGCATGGCGGCATCGAGAGACAGTATGATAGCGTTGCGAGGGCCCCGTTGGTCGTGTCGCGCAGCTCGAGTGCAGTGGCGCTTTGCGGCAGGCGCATTGATGATGTTTGGCACCTCAACGGCATCGTATTTGGAGGGCACTGGCGGAAACTTGACCTCGTCATGATCCGGCGTAAATTCGTCTGGTGCTGCTGCCATGTGACCCATTTTGCTGATGATGGCGGCGCGCTGTCCGAGGTGTTATCGAGAGTCTTTGCTTTCTTTTCAGCCGCAATGGAGTTGGCTGCTGCAGAAGAAAGGAGAGGTGACACTGCTGACAGAAGCATACTTCCGACATGGCCATTTTTTCTCCGTTTGATCGAACCCCAAAATTGATAATGTTCGATTTGACATGTTATAACGTAGCCGAAGAACACTATAAATACATAATAATAAATTCTAAGATAAATTCAGTATTTTAATTTATACCTGAACAAATAGGATTTATATAAGTTGTTAGTTATATGTGATTTAATTAGTTAACTAATGTCATTTTTTAATTTGCTTTTTATATATTTTTGTATTTTTTTTATTAAATAATGAAAATCAAAATTCAATCTTTACCTGCCCACCGGCGTGGCCGCTAAAAGGCGTGGCTGCCGATACCCGGGTATGCCGGCATGCGATGCGGGAAAAGGACGATGCGCTAAAATCATTTGAGCAGGTGAGTGATTTCTATTCCGTTACGAGTCTCTACAAATACGTGCCTTAGTACCACCTAGTGTCGTCGGCACGGCACAACTCTTTACCCTCCTGCTGTCTTTGGCAAAGTGTTCTCGTATTGTAAGCGAGCTAACTTGGGTAGCCGGTTTCCGCGCTTCAAGATGGTGCTGAGAGCGATATGTAGCCAAGAGCAGATCAACCATGGGGAGATGAACCGATTCAAGTCAATGCAACCCCTCGCGAGGACCATGCACTTCATGCACTGGTAACATGAACAACGGGCTCTGTACAGACCGCGACTTGTCAAGAGACGCTTCATCAACACGAGGCAGAATCGTTTCAGCTTGCACGGCAGAGTCGCATTCAAAATACCTATACGAGAACTTGGATAGTAATCCGCAGCCGGCTCTTTGCACAAGTTTTCTGTTTGTCCATGCAAGTGTAGAGTTTGACTTGCTCGTGCTTGCAAGGCGTCATACTAATCGGTGCTTCCAATCGCAGACATACAGATATATACATATAAATATGATGCCTTTTCGCAATTTGTCGTTTCACAAACGCAGTACGAGTCATCCCGTACGAATTCCGTGTCAAAATGAGATTTACTTCTGTCTTGCTCAGCTGTCTGTCTGCTGGGGCCCTCGCCGCGCCCGTGGCTGATGACTCTGTTGTAAAGAGCCACGCGCTCAGCAACAGCTGGCAGAACGAGGGAAGCCTCCCCGATGACACCCAGATCCCTGTTCGCATTGCCCTAAAGCAAAGCAACCTGGACAAGGGTATGGACTATCTTTTGACAGTGTAAGAAACGATCCTGGAGGGCTTCATTTTTCTCCCTTCCCGCGACTCTGCACAAGCTCAAAACTAATCACACGGGTCATTGCACGCGTGCCAGGTCGGATCCTGAATCCCCCAAGTACGGTCAGCACTTTACGAAGCAGCAAGTCATCGACCTCTTTGCCCCCGCGGACAGCACTGTTGATGCAGTCAAGAAATGGCTTGTCGGATCGGGCGTCCCAGCTTCCGCCATCACCACCTCCAATAGCAAGGGATTCCTCGACTTTGTCACCACGGCTGGCGAGCTGAACAAGCTGCTTCAGGGCAATTACAAAGTCTTTAACCACGTCAACGGCAAGAGCTCTCAGATCATGTCAGAGAATTACACCATCCCCGGCGCAGTCTCTTCTCACATTGACTTTATTGCCCCCGCCCTGGGATTACCCAGCAAAACATCCAAAAGTCGCCGCTTTGCACCTGTCCCGTCGCCGGTCAAGCCGACTCCGCTCCCGCAGGAAATAGTCCGGGAGCTCACGGCCGCGCCAAGTAAGCAGCACTGATAGATTGACCACGATTGGTCTTATCGAAAGATTGAAACTGACCCAGCCTTTGAAAGACGACACTAATAGATGCGCCGACTACGTCACCCCCAAGTGTATCAAGGCCATGTACAATATTCCCGACGGTAAACTGAGCAACCCTAGCAACCGCCTGGGCCTATTCGAATCCGACGATGAGCTTTTCCAGCAAGGAGACTTGAGCACATTCTTTGCTCTTTTTGCGGCTTATATTCCGGCTACATTTACCCCCAAAGTCGATCTCATCAATTTCGGTAACAGCAAACCCAATGCGGCAAACGCTGAGGGTGAGGCTGCCCTCGACTTTGACGTATCGTATCCGGTCATATACCCGCAGAACATTGAGCTGTTTCAAGCAAAAGGTAATTTCAACTACTTTAAACGCACTTTTGGCATTTTCAACCAGTTCCTGGACGGTGTGGATGGCAGCTACTGCACCTTTTCGTCGCACAATTACACTGGCGACGACCCTAGCATCGACGGACCGCAGAGCACCCAGTGCGGCACTTTCAAGCCCACCAATGTCATTTCCTTCTCATACGGCTGGGATGAGGCGGATTACCCTGCTGGTTATCTCGAGGCAAGTAGTCTTACTCTTTGCTGTCACACTGTAATCATCTGCGGTGCCTAACCATTTTTCCTTCAGCGCCAATGCGATGAATTTATGAAACTGGGCCTTCAGGGAACGACTCTTGTATTTTCCAGCGGCGATTCCGGTGTCGTAGGTAAGGAAGGCTGCCTTGGAAAGAACCAGGACATTTTTTCGCCAGCGGTCGGCGCGGCCTGTCCTTTTGTGACGACTGTTGGCTCGACCCAGCTAGCATCTGGTCAGCAGGTTGGCTCTGCTGAGCAGGTTACCACGAGCTTTAGTCCTGGTGGCGGATTCAGCAACATTTGGGATACTCCTACCTATCAGCAAAGCGCGGTTTCCAGGTAAGCAAGCCCCCTGCAAAACGACTCTGAAGGGACTTATGGTTTCAAAAAAAAAAAAAAAA